CAATTAAAATTAATTTTGTGAGGCAGTGGCTCATGTTGAAAGAAAATTCCTTATGTCAGTTTTTCCCTAAATAAGTGGTACCCATAGACTTTATTTAGAGATCCTCAGTGACCCAGCATTGACAGAACTTCTATTTTGTGACTTGCCTCTGGGAATCCCAAACTTTATTTAAGACTACCCATGTCCTCTAAAGGTTTATAAACTATTTGAAAAAAATAAAATGAGGGCTGGCTGAGTGGCTCAGTTGGTTAAGAGTAGGCTTAAAAGTGCAAGCTCTGAGCAACAGGGTTGCTGGTTCGATTCCCACATGGGCCAGTGACACTGCACCCAAGCTGAGCTGTTGCTGAGCTGCCAACAGGTGGCAGGATAGCTCAGCTGGTGTAACAATAAGATTGCCTGTTTGATGGTGGGCTGTGCCCACCTGCAACAAAGACTGAACTCCGCACTGTGAGCTGAGCTGCCGCCCTGGATGGCTCAGTGGATAGAGCGTGTGCTCTTTACAACAAGGCTGCTGGTTCGATTCCTGCATGGGATGGTGGCAACTAAGATTGAACACAGCACCTTGAGCTTAGAGGCCACTAGCTGCCAACGGGCAGCCAGATAGCGACTTAACAAAGATTGAAGAACAACAATTTGGCTGGTCCCCTTCCCCGATTCCACAACACTTCCCCTCCCTCAATTCCCCAATAAAATCTTTAAACAAAAAAAGAAAAAAGAAAATGAACACAGATTAAATAAAGAGATGATACACAGTAGTTTTTAATCAAGCATTGCAAGGTGGGGTACAGATAGCATTTCTGTGGGAATTTTCAGAAGTGAGAGTTCAGTGGCGCCAAGAATATTTGGCTGAATTTTCACAGAAGTTGAGAGGTTGGGGGAGACATCCCAGATGGAGGGGAACACCATGAGCAGGGGGAAAAAAAAATCTCGAAGTGGATCATCCTCAAAATACTTTTTAAAATTACTTTTGAAAGAAGTATAAAAGTATCAAATGCCATAGTAAAAAAAAGAAATTCAAATAATGCAGAAGGGAAGGCAATGAAAAGTAAAATATTGTATTCGTCCCTTGCATCTTCCCTTAGCCATAGACAACTACAATAAAACTCTTGAGCTGAGATCAAGAAAAGCTAATCCCTGATGCCCCTATTGGTAGAAACCCACCTTAGAAGGGGCCTATTTTGTATCGCCTCTGTTAATGTTTCTTGCTGCTGGAGGAGGGAGCACCTCTGAGTGAATAAGCCCATCACTATAGCTTCCAACCCAGAGGCCTGCACTCCGATGAATTACTCTGCAGAGGGCTTCCTGCTACGGTTGCTTATGCATGCTTGTGATTGTTAATGAGATTAATGTATTAATGTTCGTTCTGTCCTCAGTCAACAGGCAGAGCTCGCCCTGCAGGAGGCGATTAGGATCGCCCAGGAGTCCAACGATCACGTGTGTCTCCAGCATTGCTTGGTGAGGCCACCCTCCTGCCTTGGGAGCTCTGCCCACGGGTTGAGTTGGTCTTTGGAAATTCCCACTTGAATCGGATTGTTTTGTAGTTGGAGCAAAGGTCCTTAGCAGTGACAAGAAACTAGTTAGGTAGTCGTGGTAATACAGGAGAGGCTGCCATATTTATTTATCTGTCTTAATTCATGACATCTGTTTGCTTCAGCGGTATTTCTTATCTACAAATTTTAGTGCAACTTGCCATGCAAAACTAACGCATTAAACACTGGCATTAACAAAAAGGTGTATGCAGCACTTTGTCGCTGGATGAGATGTTATCCTGTAAAAGCATAATCACCAAGCACAAGTAAAACACAGGATTCATTTAATGATCACCTGAGAACCTCATTTTCTCCGTTAAAGGCCCTTTGGGGGCTTCATGCTTTTTTTCTGGACCACTTGCCACTCACTGCTGTCAGAGTGAAGAAAGTCAGTGGCTTGTTTATTTGTCTGACAGTTTTCATGTGTTTGACAGGTTTCATTTAGGTTCATAATTCATGAAAGAGCATGTTAGAGGATTCATTTTGTCCCTTGTTAATTTTATGCAACCATGCCGATATTTCAACAGGACAGTAACCGTTTCATTGTTAGGATATATTGTGATGATTTCTCTTACCAGAGCTGGCTTTATGTGCTGGGGCAGAAGAGATCCGATAGCTATGTTCTGTTAGAGCATTCCGTGAAGAAAGCAGTCCATTTTGGGTTACCGGTAAGCCTCATCTTCCTATGAGATTGTTTAAATAAATGGTGTGGTTTTATTCTTGGTAGTTTCATATGACCTTAATTATGAATTAAACTATGAAATTCTGTGAGATAAGTTTCTCCCTTTATCCTGATAACACCTGTGAAAGTTCCATTTATCAATTTGATGAGATTTTTTTTTTTTAGTTTATTGATCAACATTAACTTCCACATATTTACTTATATTTACTTAGAAAAATTTCAGCAAAGGCTTATTTTTAAACCATGGATTGGGAAACTTTACAGCCTTTGGGCCACATCTCGCTCACTGCCTGCTTATGTGTGGCCCTTGGGCTAAGAATGAGTTTGTTTGTTTTTTTTACCTTTGTTGGGGAACAGTGTGTTTTTTCCAGGACCCATCAGCTCCAAGTAAAGTAGTTGTTTCAATCTAGTTGTGGAGGGCACAATTCAGTGGCCCATGTGGGAATCAAACGGGTAACCTTAGTGTTACAAGCACTGCGCTCTAACCAACTGAGCCAACCAGCTGCCCTGGGTTTTACATTTTTAAATAGTTGGGGGAGAAAACGTTAAAGAAGAATAGCAACAGAGACAAAATGTGGTCTGCAAAACCTAAATTATTCACTGTATGGCCCTTTAGAACACGAGTTTGCTGATCCTTGTTTTAGCAATAAACAAATCCAGGCACCTGTAAATCTGATAGGCCGATTTATCCCTTCTCATTTTGAGTGACAGGGAAGGACCTGAATTACAGTCCTCGGTGACAGATACTGAGGGGCATTGGAAGGGCATAGTCTCTACACCTGAAGGAGTAATGGCTGTTAGAATCTAGATTACTGTTGCACAAAGAACCTTATTCCGTCTCAAAAACATCTACTGAAAACTGGACTATAGGCAGTGGGACTGCTTAAGCATCTGTTTGCAACAAATTCCAGTAAAATTGAAAGTAATCATATGTAATAATTTAAAGTATATGCTTTTCAAATCTGTAAATTGTCCATTGAACTCATTTCTGGGAAAGGAAAGTTTCATGTACAGAATTAGTCATAGTGACAAAAGCAAGTGGCTCCTTAAAATAAACAATAGACTCCTTAAGTACAGTTTTTGTTATGGATTTAAGCTGACTGTTTTTTAGTTGAGTTTTCATCCTTGAAAATTTTACTAATAGTTAATGAAAAGATAATTATGCTCATAATAGGCATCCGTTTGAAATCTAGTGCATAATATGCCTAGTACTGTTTGACATACGATTTCATTTTAATCCTCACAACAATTCTTTTTTTTTTTAAAGATTTTATTGGGGAATTGGGGGAGGGGAACAGCGTTGGAGAATTGGGGAAGGGGAATAGACAGGTAGACAAATAGCTGTTTTGTTCTTCAGTCTAGTTGTGGAGGACGTCGCTTCATTGGCCCATGTTGGTATGATCATTGCGCTCTTCCTGGGTGAGGCAATTGGTCGTCGGTCATTGGTCGGCCGCTCATGGCAGCTCTCACCTGCTGCTGGCCGCCAGCCACTTATGTAGCTCACGGCAGCACACTGCAGCCCTGCTGCAGCCTACGCCGTGGCTGGCTACTCAAAGCAGCCCAGCTCCAGGTTGAGCTGTTGTTCATCATCTTAGCTGTAGAGGGTGCAGCGTCACTGGCCCTCAATGTGGGATCCGAACCGGGGCCCTGCTGCTCAGAGCTGGCGCTCCCAAGCCAGCTCTTAACCAGCTAAGCTACTCGGCTGGCCCACAACAATTCTTTATGGTAGTATTGATGCCCATTTTACAGATGAGGCTTGGCTAAGAAGCTAAGTGACTAGCTCCAGGTCCCATAGTAAGTGACAGAGGCGATGTGTAAGCTCAGGTCCATTTAATGTCAAAGCCCTAGCTCTTCCCATTATACCAGGAACTGGGGCACAGTTCAGGAACACAGCTCGTATGGGTCAGGGTCAGGCTGTAGGTACTTTACTTTTAAATACCGTTTTCCCCCCATAATAAGACCTAACTGGAAAATAAACCCTAGCATGATTTTTCAGGATGCTCGTAGTATAAGCCCCACCCCAAACATAAGCCCCAGTTAAGATCGTCAGCCAGACATGACTGTTGGAATAAATGTAGATTTTTGTACATGAATAAATGAATAAATGTAGATTGTTGGAGCAAAAATTAATATAAGACTCAGTCTTATTTTCGGGGAAACATGGTAGTGCTATTACTGTGCATGTGCTGCAATGTGAACTATGTGAAATTCTGAAGAATAAAACAAATTCTGTTGTGTGATCTCAGTCTTGGGCTGTGGGTATGTCTGTCCCCTAGTACCTCGCCTCCCTGGGAATACAGTCCCTAGTTCAGCAGAGGGCTTTTGCTGGGAAGACAGCAAACAAACTGATGGATGCCCTAAAGGACTCCGACCTCCTGCACTGGAAACACAGCCTGTCAGAGCTCATTGACATCAGCATCGCACAGAAAACTGCCATCTGGAGGCTGTATGGCCGCAGGTGGGTCTTCAGGCACCGGGTCAAGGCCATGGGGCGTGAACCCTTTTAGAGGCAAATAGAGGCTAGCAGACTGGTTGTGTGAGAGACCAAACCTATAAGCACTTTCCCCTTTGATGGAAGTGGTTCCTGTAGGGGAGTAAAGACAGTGCTTTATAGTTTCAAAGCATCTTGTACTTTGCACAGACTTTGCAAAGCGTTTTCCCACCCTGTTCTCATTTACTTCTCCTAACTGCTCTGTGAGGTAACTGGTGGGTGATGTCCATTCTGGGATGGATAAACCAAAGTTAACACATGTAATGTGCCCAAGATCACAAATGTACTGAGTAAGTGACAGAGCCAGAACTCCAACCCAGGTCCTCTGACTCCAAGCACTGTGCCTCTGCGCTCTGAGACAGGAACCTCTTCCTGTTTGCAGGAGGCATGGCCATGCTCATTCCAATTGAGCATCCCCTGAACCCCAAAGCTGTTACGTAAAGAAAGCTGCTCCCTGTTAACTGAGGTGTGTTCTCTGGAATATCTGCAGCCATTTCGCCTGGACGTAAACTTCTGAACAGAGTTTTAATCCTGGAGTCGTGACTTCCCTCTCCTTTCACCTGACAATCTGCTCTTTGTAGTTCCACAATGAAAGGAAGGGCCTACTTCACCAGGCTTGTTTTTGTACTTGAGATAATTTTTTGGCATAATGTGGTCTGAAACAGCTGCAGACGCTGGCCACAGCTTATACTGCCAGAGCAGCTGGTGCCAGGATGGCATCGGGTTCGAATTTACCCGTGAAAGCTGATGAGCATACTGTGACCACAGGGGAACTAGAGGCGGTGGGGGTTCTGGAGCTCGGAGCTCCAGGTTTGTAACCACTGCCTGTTGCCTTCGGGGCTGCACATCCAGGATGCTTTCCTGCTCCGCTAGTCCTGAGGGCGGGAGAGCTGGCACTGGGAGGCAGCTGCTCCCAGGAAACTGGAGCCCACACAGGGCCTTAACTTCCTCCCATTTCCACTGAAGATAACTGTAGGGCGTGGGGGGGTCGCGGGGGGAAGAGTGGCCTGGGTCCCTTGACTGATGCGCGTCCCTGTCGTCTCCTCGCCCAGCACCATGGCGCTGCAGCAGGCCCAGATGTTGTTGAGCATGAACAGCCTGGAGTCGGTGAACGCAGGCGTGCAGCAGAACAACACGGAGTCATTCGCTGTTGCGCTCTGCCACCTCGCGGAGCTGCACGCGGAGCAGGTAGGCGGGGTGGGCCCGCGCGCTTCCAGAGTAATGGCAGTTCTGCCATTTCTCTTCTAGTGAGTGAGAAAAGCACTGGTCGTGTCTCGGAAAGGTGTGGTTGGATGCAGGTGGTGGAAAGGATCCAATCCCAAACCAGTGGAAATGGACTGGGTGTGGGGTCTGCAAAGTTTGTTGAACTTAGATTCCTTTTGGCATCCACGAAGGGAATAAGAGGTCAGCTGTTTCCACGTGACAAGTGGAATAAAAAGGAGTCTGAAGTTTCTGGTTGTAGAGCTGTGTATGTCTACAGGAGAGGGGGGTGTAATAAAGGGATTGTGAAAATGGTAACATCGGATGTTTGTTATGCACTTGTTCTGTGCCAGGCCCTGTGCTTGGTTTTTTACTGTATATTGTCTTACCGAATCCTTATAATAGACCCGTGAGGTCAGCTTTATTATTAGCCCTATTTCACAGAACAATAAACGGAGATCCAGGGAGCTAAGTCCTATACCTGCAACCAGTACATGTCAGTCAGGGCTTCAACCCAAGTCTGAGCGACTGCAAGGACAGTGGGAATTGAACATATCCTTGACTTACAGCCCAAGTCATTTTGCATGGTTCTCTTTATAGGGGATTGATTAGAGGGTCTTACCTACTGCTCTAGGTTCTCCCTTCCCTTTCATGGGCAAGAGGTCAGGGAAACCTCTCGCCCACTAAACGCTGCCTTGCTATAAGTACGTTTCCTTGATCATGTTATTTTTCTCATCTTTGTGGTATTCATTGTTTTTAGGTTGCATCGTAACACTCAGTATTCCCTAACCTGCAGCCTACAGATCTTTGCTTGTTTCCACCCCTTTCAGAAGCCTCCCCTATATTTTAGCATTTTGCAGTCCTGTAGGTAGCTGTGTAAATGGAGTGGGTGGGTGAGCTCTGGCTGTTGGGTTCTGAGTGCACCTTCAGCAGCTGTTTTTTCCTGGACCTGGGGAGCATTGCCCTCGCTTTCTGACCTCAGCACAGCAGGCCAGCCAGCTGTACTTGCTCTTTGCTTTTCTCCGGGAATGTTCACGTTCATCACTTTCTTGGGTTTCTGTTTTCCCTCTTAAGGACACTGGAACCTCTTTGACATCCTTCTTTTCCTGTCCTGGTGCCATGGTAACAGATGAATCATTGAACCTTCAGTTAGGTATTTGGTGTGAGCCTCATGTGACTTTTTTCCCCAACAATTTTATTGAGACATAATTCACACGTCATATATTGGGCTGTTGGAAAAGTCATGATGTATTTTTTCTATGTTTTTCCTTGCAAAAATGCGTCATAACTTTTCTGACAACCCAATATTTCACCTATTTGAAGTGTCCCCATGTGACTTTTTGAAGCTGGATTCTTCTCACTGACCCCAACCTTAAACAGTGGAATAATTTCCTTCAGCTCTTTGAGTTATGTAAGGTAGAAATAATTTTTGTTGTTGTTGTTGTTGGAGTGGAAAAGTACTTTACAGAGATCTTGTCTTGGCCAAATTCTTTAGCCTTGAAACTTTCTCTAAGGCCTATTGTTTTGTGATTTTTTTTCCTGGGGATAAGACCTTGAAAAGTAACTGTGCTCTTTGGATCTATATTAATATTTCCGTCTTCATCCCCCTTTCATCTCTGGGCTTATGTGAAAAACCTACTAACCCTATCATTGCCTGGCTCCAATGGCCAGATGTGTTAGGAAATGTTTTAATTGCACAAAAGGTAGTCAGTGACCTCTTTATTTCAGTTCAATCCCTTCCCCCCCTTTCTTTAACCTGCCTTAGAAAAACCTTTCTAGTGTTAGAACATCAGCCATGTAGATACATTCACTGGGCTGATGACTGTCACATTTTTAATTACACAGGTTAGACTGAACTGCAGTTTCTGAGCTTCCTTCTGCAACCCAGAGGATGTACCGCCCCCTTTGCTCTTTCTGCGTAATTCTGGTTCGTCATGTGCCATTCCTCTCCCAGCCTCAGCAATGGCAGGCTTCAGTGGGAATGTTTTGCGGGGATATGCAGCATGCACACTGTTCTCTCTACTCAGCCTGACAACACCCCATCTGGATCCACTGGCAGTCATGAAAATAATTGGCGAGATTGGTCAGTTAAAATCACAGGAATAAAGAGATTAATAATAGTGATCTTTTATTATAATTCAGTGTAATTTCCACTTCAAATAGAAGTTCACTTGCAATCTAATTAAACTTCTGTGTAGACAGACAATATATCACCTAATCAAAGATTGGGACAAATTGAAAAGCTTTTGGAGTCCGTAAAGTGAACATGAACATCCCAACAATGTAAGAGTGTACAAAAGACACAAACATGCATTCATAGAAAAAGCTTAAATGGCCAAAAAACATGAAAAAATTTTTAATTCGGTCATTAAATAATTCAGGGGCCGGCCGAGTGGCTCAGTTGGTTAAGAGCTCGCTCAAGAGTTTGAGCTCTGAGCAACAGCGGTTCGAGTCCTGGCCTGAGCTGAGCAGCCGCTGAGCTGCCAACAGGTGGCAGGATGGCTCAGCCAAAAAAAAAAAAAATCAAATTAATACAGTGAAATACCAGTGTCACTAATCAAATAGGCCAAAATGCTTAAGTATCAGGGGAAGAGAAAGGCCTAGAGTGCTGGTGTGAAAGTACTTGGTACATTCCTGGAGAATAATTGGTAATGTATATCAAAGAGCTTAAAAGTGCCTGTCATTTTGCTTAGCAATTCAACTTCTAAGCTTTTATCTTAAGGAAATAATTGGACAACTGTGCAAAGATATATGCACCAAGATCTTCATTGTAGCATTTTTTAAAATGGGAGAAATTGGAAACAACTAAAATATCCCAAACTATGAGATTATTTTGGTATGCCATAATTTATTTACCTAATAAATATCATAATGATATAGATTGGTATTTATTGACAGTGGGCAGATTTCATTCATTGAAAAACTATTCATTGAGTGCCTACTGTGTGGTAAACAGTGTTATAGGCAATTTACAAAAGTAGTATGTATATCTATTTTTGGACTATCTATATGTTTTATATTTATGTTCATAAAAGAAGTTTAGGAGGATATGTGCCAAAACATTAACTATGATTTTCTTTGGTGGGGTTGAAAATAATTTGTTTCTTTCTTGTTTACATGTATTTTGTAAGTTTTTTTTCCTAGAGTGAACGTGTATTACATGAGCGACTTAACAAATAAAATAGGTTCTAATAGAACCTAAAAAAATGGCTCTTTGATACTTAACTGCCTCTGCCTAGTGTCTTACAGGCTCTGCTCCAAGAACGGATAAGTCACATCTGCATCCTGCACCTGGTGCAGCAGGTGCAGTTTTAGCACAGGTGTGCTCATCACATCGCGTCTTTCTGTTTAGGGCTGTTTCGCGGCAGCTTCCGAAGTGCTGAAGCACCTGAGGGAGCGATTCCCACCCAATAGTCAGCATGCCCAGGTAACCTGTCTTGCGTGGCACAGGATTTCTTTCTAAAAAGACTGTTTTTACTGTAAGCTTTCTTCTGAAGGCTGACAAATAAACTCTGAGAAAAGATTTAAAGTAGGGCACTTGATCCATCCCTGTCTTCCTGGTTTTCAGTTAGTATTCCTTATATCTCTTAACTGTATGGGAAGACGAAATCAGCAGTTTTGTTCCGATAGCTTGAGAATGAGGGCTCAGTTTTGTTATTATATTTTGTCTCCTACTTGACAACTCTAATCGTTTCTTCCAGAACTGAATGACCTTTTGGGAACATGTACCCAGAAGGAATGACCTTGATAAAGGAGTCCTGGGCTCCCGTTACTGATTGCACTGGTTTTTATCCCTGATGGGGCGGAGAAAACCGTTACAAGGGGCCTCTTTCTCTTCCTCCCCATAAAAATTTAATCTTCAGTGGATTAGGGAATATGAAATCATAAGAGACCTTGGCTTGGCATCTCCTCCTGCTGGTCCCTGGGGCTGCCATTCACATGGGTTGTTGACTCCCCCTCATTAAATTTGTGAGTGCCCATCTGGTACGCAAACAGGGTAGACCAAGGATGCATTGTGGTTCTGTGGTAGTGCTATTATGATGGAATAGTTTGGGTTACAGTTCTAGCCATTTTTTAAGGTGGTGCACAGTAAAAAAAAAAAAAGAATTTAATTCACAGTTTACAGAAAAAATATGTATGACCAATAAGTATATAACGAGATACTTTAACCTGACTGGTGATCAGGGAAATGCAAATTAAAACAATAATGAGATATTTCATACCCATCAGAGTGGCCACAAGTGAAATATCTGGCAGTACCAATTGTTGGTGAGGATGTGGAACGAGCCATGTCATTACACTACTGGTGGGAGTGTAAACTGGGACAAGCCATTTGAAGAGCAGCTGGGCACTATGTTAGGTGAAATGTCTGTTCTAAGCCCGGCATTTCCCCTGCTTGCTGTACACCCGAGGTAGACTCCTGCACAAGGAGAGGTGTTATGAAAATGTTTATTGCAGGGCCGGCCAAGTGGCTCAGATGGTTAAGAGCTCGCTCAAGAGTTTAGCTCTGAGCAACAGTGGTTTGATTCCCGGCCCGAGCTGAGCAGCCACTGAGTTGCCAACAGGTGGCAGGATGGCTCAGCTTAAAAAAAAAAAAGAAAGAAAGAAAGAAAATGTTTATTGCAGCATTTTTCAGAAGAGTGAAAAATCCATACTACCTAAATGCCCATCAACACAATAGAAAGTGGTCACATATTCATATAATTGAAAACTATGCATCAGTGAACAAGAATGAACCAGAACCTCTTGTGTTAATGTGTGTACATCCCCCAAAATAACTTTGAGCTTCAAAGCAAGTTGTCAGCAGATGTGTACAATATGATACTATTTATTTATACAAAGTTTGACAACATACAAGGTCATATGATAAATTGTTTAAGGCTAAGTGTATGCGTTGTAAAAGTATAAGAACATGAATGATAAATATCAAATCAAGTGCGTACTTTGGAAAAAGAGAGGGAATTTGTTAAGGACGCCAATAGTACATAATAGTATCTGAAACAGATAAAGCAAAACGTGATTTGACAGAGTTGATGATTGGCATACATGTATTTGTTATTTTATTTTTAGTGCTTTTTCACATACTTGAAATATTTAAAAATATTTTTTAAATTGAAAAAAAAAATAAAAGAATGTATGTGAATTGTAAGGATATTTGCTAAGCAAACCACAATACTTTTTCTCTCTGTTGAATAATGGGGTGAACACTTGCCATTTTGTCCCTGATTGTATTTTTTTCTTTTTAGTTATGGATGCTATGTGATCAAAAAATACAGTTTGACAGAGCAATGAATGATGGCAAATATCATTTGGCTGATTCGCTCGTTACAGGAATCACAGCTCTCAACAGTATAGAGGGTGTATATAGGTAAGAAACTCGGAAAACTCCAACCCAGACATTCTCACATGGCTGTATTCTTACTTGTTTTGTGTGGATCGATTTATTAACTTTTGCTTAGGAAAAAACTTTTTTCCACTTATTACACATTTATTACGGGAAATGAGAAAATACAGATAAGCAAATGGAGAAAATAAGCACCACCCAGACATTAACTGATATCTAACATTCTGATATCTATAGTTCCAGAGTGTGTGTGTGTGTGTGTGTGTGTGTGTGTGTGTTTGTGTGTGTGTGTGTAACAAAAAAAATTTGTTTTCCTCTCTTTTAACATAAATTCTATCAGGCACAGGTCTTCCCTTTGGGGGTCCAATTACAGTCTAATTGAGGAAATAGGGATTCTAACCCTGACAGTGAGTGTACCTATAGCCCTTGCAAACCATCAACATAACCACTTATGTTTATTTTGTTTCTGTGTCAGAAAAGCAATTGTACTGCAAGCTCAGAACCAAATGTCGGAGGCACACAAGCTTTTACAAAAACTGTTGATTCATTGTCAGAAAATCAGGAACACAGAAATGGTGATCAGGTAAGAGAGGTCTCGCATGCATCTCACCGATGTGCTTTGTGGTGGATACTCTCATCCTGTGTCTTCCTCTTTGGGGCAGTGTCCTGCTGTCCGTGGCAGAGCTGTACCGGCGGTCTTCCTGCCCCACCATCGCGCTGCCCGTTCTGCTGCAGGCTCTGGCCCTCTCCAAGGAGTACCGGCTGCAGTACTTGGCCTCCGAAACAGTGCTGAACTTGGCTTTTGCCCAGGTAAGCTGATCTCTGTTTTTATAGCACATATTTGTACTTAAGAATTGGCAAGTTTGTTACTATGTTTCGGTTTTGAAAAGAAGAATAATGCACTTTCACTTCTTAATGTTGAAGTCTGGAAATGTAGACTCCATGGCAAGCCGTCCATGGAAGTCTGGAGTTGTGAACTTGGTGACAGGCTGACGCCTCCCAGTGGCACTGGCTTCACCGAGCTGTGTGTTTCGTAGGGAGGACTTGCCTCTTCCTGGAGGATACTTGCCTCATAGGAATGACTAGCTGGCTCAGAGCTATGCTGCATTTAACAAGGGGGTGAATAGAAGAAAGAAATGAGGAAGTCATATATTCACCGGAAGGTTTTGGAAATTAAATTGTGTTATGTCTGTTTTTTGTCTTCCTCTGTAGAAAGGAAAGGCCATGAGAGAAGGGACCCTTGTTTTTTCCCGACTGTATCCCATGGTACCTAGTAGGACCTGCAAAGAATAGGCTTTTAATATTTATTGAATGAATGAATTTTGAACTCACTGGAGGAATTTACTAACTAAAGCAGAGGTTCCCCAAAGTAACTGTGCATCAGAATTATTGGGAAATTTAAAAAATATTTACCTGGCCTTGCCTTGAACCTACCGAGTCAGATCTCTAGGGGCGGGACCTAGGAATCTGTTTTTCTTAGCAGCTTCCCCAATAATTCTTTCTTTTTCTTAATTAAGATAAAATGTACATAACATAAAATTGACCATTTTAACCATTTTAAAGTATACAACTCAGTGGATTTTAGAACAGCTATATCATACCTATATGTAGATATATGTTAATAGCTATAAATATAGAATATTTTAGAATATCTACAGTGTTTTGCAGCCATCACACTGTCTAATTCCAGAATATTTTTATCACACCAAAAGAAACCCTATGCCCATTAATCAGTCACTCCCCATTGCCCCCTCTCTGTAGACCCTGGCAACCACTTATCTGCTTCCTGTCTCTATGGGTTTCCCTATCCTGGACATTTCATATAATGGAATCATACAATACCTGGCCTTTTGTGTGTGACTTCTTCACTTAGTGTAATGTTTCAGGGTTCATTCATGTTGTAGCATGTGTTGGTACTTCATTCATTTTAACGACTGAATAATACTCCATGAAGTGTACACATTTCATTTATCCATTCGTTGATTGATGGACAATTGGGTTGTTTCCACCTGTTATGAATAGCTGTTCTTAACATTCATTACAAGTTTTTGTATGAATATCTGTTTTCATTTCTCTTGGGTATACTTAAGAGTGGAATTGCTAACATGATAATTCTGTTTAACTTGATTCTGTTTAATTGGATTGATTTTTGTATATTGCACTATTTTAATCCTGGGATAAATCATACTCGGTCATGGTGTATGATCCTTTTAATATGCTGCTGGACTTGGTTTGCTAGTATTTGTTGAGGATTTTTACTTTTATATTCATAAAGGATATTGGTCTGTAGTTTTCCTGTGATAGCTTTATTTTGCTTTGGTATTAGGATAATAATTACTTCACAAATACTGGCGTCTTCTGTTTTTTGAAATAATTTGAGAAGGATTGATGCTAATTCTTTAAACATTTTCTCAAATTCACCTGTGAAGCCATCCAGTTCTGTGCTTTTCTTTGTTGGAAGTTTTTTTTGATTACTGATTCAGTCTCTATACTTATAGGCCTCTACAGATATTCTGTTTCTTCTTGAGTCAGTTTTGGTAGTTTGTGTCTTTCTAGAAATTTTTTCGTATAATTGATCTAACCTGTTCACATACAATTGTTTATAGGATTGTTATCTAATCCTTTTTACTTCTATAAGGTTGTTAGTTAAGTCCCCCACTTGCATTCCTGATATTAGTCATTTGGGTCTTCTGTCTTTTTATCCTTGCTCAGTATAGCTAACTGTTTATTTTCTTGGTCTTTTCGGAGAGCCATCTATTTTTTTTTAAAAAGATTTTATTAAGGAATTGGGGGAGAGAACAGTGTTGGGGAATTGGGGAAAGGGAACAGACAAGTTGCTGTCCTTTTGTTCTTCAGTCTAGTTGTGGAGGACGTCGCTTCACTGGCCCATGTTGGTATTATCATTGCGCTCTTCCCAGATGAGTCAGTTGCTTGCTGGCCGCTCACGGTGGCTCACGCCGGCTGCCGGCCGCTCACTGGCTGCCAGCCACTCACAGTAGCTCACGGCAGCCCACTGCAGCTTCACTGCAGCCTACGCCGTCGCCGGCGACTCACAGCAGCCCAGCTCCAGGTCGAGCTATTGTTCACCATCTTAGCTGTAGAGGGCAGCGTCACTGGCCCTCATGTGGGATCTGAACCAGGGCCCTGCTGTTCAGAGCTTGCGTCCCAAGCCAACTCTTAACCAACGCACCACTCAACCGGCCCCCAGAGAACCATCTTTCAGTTTCATTTGATTCTCTCTATTTTTCTGTTCTCTATGTTGTTTCTCTTCACTCTAATCTTTATTTCCTTGCCTCTGTTAGCTTTGGGTTTTTCTTTTTCTAGATTGGTGGAAGTTTAAGGTGGAAGTTTAGCTTACTAATTTTGAGATCTTTTTTTTTAAATGTATGCCTTTACAACTTTTAAGTTTCCTTCACTGCATCCCATAAGTTTTGGTATGTTGTGTTTCTGTTAATCTCAAAGTATTTTCTAATTTCTCTTGGGATTTCTTCTTTGACCCATTAGTTATTTAAGGGTGTATTGGTTAATTTCCATATATTTGTGAATTTTCTGGATTCCTTTCTGTTACTGATTTCTTATTTCATTCCATGTGGGCAGAGAAGATACATCGTGTGATTTCAGTCATTTTAATTTAATTTAATACAAATTAAGTATTACTTTGTGGCCTAATATATGATCCATCCTAGAAGATGTTCCATGTGCACTTGAGAAGAATGTGCATTGTGTTATTGTTGGGTGGAGTGCTCTATAGATGACTATTAGGGCTAATCGGTGTCTAGTGTTGTTCAAGTCTTTTATTTCCTTGCTCATTCTATCCATTATTGAAAACAGAGTATCACACTCTCAAACTGTTATTGCCAGACTCTTATTTCTCTCTTCAGTCAGTTTTTACTTCAGATATTTTGGGGTTCTTTTTGGTGTGTATATGTTTATAATTGTATCTTCTTGATGAATTGACCTTTTTATCAGCATATAATATCCTTCTTTGTCTCTAGCAATAGTTTTTGATTTAGGTCTATTTTTTTTTAAAGATTTTTTTTTTTTTAATTGGGGAATTGGGGAAGGGGAGCAGTGTTGGGGAGTCAGGGAAGGGGAACAGACAAGTTGCTGTGCTTTTGTTCTTCCATCTAGTTGTGGAGGACGTCGCTTCACTGGCCCATGTTGGTATTATCACTGCGCTCTTCCCGGGTGAGGCAGTTGCTCGCCGGCCATTGGACAACTGCTCTAGGCAGCTCTAGGCAGCTCACGGCAGCTAATGAAAGCACATGCCAGCTGCCGACCAGCCCCACTGCAGCCTACACTATTGCCGGCGACTCACGGCAGCCCAGTTCCAGGTCGAGCTGTTGTTCACCATCTTAGCTGTAGAGGGCAGCGTCACTGGCCTGCATGTGGGATCCGAACCGGGGCCCTGCTCCTCAGAGCTGGCGTTCCAAGCCAACTCTTAACCAACGTGCTGCTCGGCCAGCCCAATTTAGGTCTGTTTTGTCTGATATTTGTACAGTCACTCCAGCTCTCTTTTGGTTACTATTTTGTTTTTTGTTTTTACTTTTTACTTTCAGCCTATTTGTATCTTTTAATCTAAAGCTAGTCTCTCATAGATAGCATTTAGTTAGATCATATTTAAAGTCTATTCTGTCAACCTCTTTGTCTTTTAATTGAAAACTTTAATTCGTTTGTATTTAATATAATTATGGATAAGAAAGGACTTATTCTATTTTGCTATTTTTTCCCATATGTCTTACATCTTTTTTGTTCCTCAGTTCCTCCATTACTGCTTTCTTTCATGTTAAATAGATGTTTTCTAGTGTACCATTTTAATTCCCTGTTGTTTCATTTACTTTATACTCGAGATATTTTCTTAGTGGTTCCCCTTCCTCCAGGGATTCAATATAGCTAGTTCGACCCTTTGGAATCTCCAATCTAAAGGATTTTGGTGCTGAATCATTTTGTAAAGACAGAAACCTTTCCATAGTGTGAATAACTATTCCCTCCCTACTGTATCTGTTGTAGTCTGGAGTCTGATGTCACACATTATATTTTCTAAGAGTGTAGCAAACATTGAAGGTAATGCATATTCGGGAGAAGGTAAGCCAGACATGGCCCTTCAGGAAAGAAAAGCCAGAAAGGAAGCCCTTCCTGTCGTGGGCAGTGGGTGTGGGTGTGTACCGGGTGGCCATGCTTCTTTTTCAGCTCATCCTTGGAATCCCAGAACAGGCCTTAAGTCTTCTCCACATGGCCATTGAGCCCATCTTGGCTGACGGAGCTGTTCTGGACAAAGGCCGTGCCATGTTCTTGGTGGCCAAGTGCCAGGTGGCTTCAGCTGCTTCCTATGAGCCCCTGAAGAAAGCGGAAGGTAGGAAGCCAAAGATTGTTCGGTAATACTGTCACAGAAAACTTCTGAAATGTAGGACCCAGAAGAAGAAATTCTATGTTAAAGTTTCACGCGGCATTTCAGATGCTTTCACATGCGTGCTTGGCACAAAGGTTGAAGGCAAATGAATGGTTATTTACCCTATAGAACCAGGGATGGGGCTGGAAATCAGGACCAAAGACCTTTATTTACCTTACTCTAGTGTATTTTTTTCCTTTTCATAGAGTTGAGTATAAAAGTGTCTGGTACATGTTAAATCAATAAAAGTACATATCAAGTTTTATAAACTCTATGTGAAGTGTCGAGTCAAATGTGTGGTATTTTCCCCACTTCCCATCAGCTCTGGAGGCTGCCATTGAGAACCTGAACGAAGCCAAGAACTATTTTGCAAAGGTCGATTGCAAAGAGCAAATCAGAGACGTAGTTTACTTCCAGGCCAGACTCTACCACACCCTGGGGAAGACGCAGGAGAGGAACCGATGTGCAATGCTCTTCCGGCAGCTGCACCAGGAACTGCCCTCTCACGGGGTGCCCTTGATAAATCATCTCTAGAGAGAACGTCCCCGTGGGCCACTGTGCAGGGTATAAGACTTTGGACTGCTTACACTCCCCCCTCACCCCCACATAAATGATGTATTTGATGTCTGTCTTGTCAATAAACTGTATTCTGATTCGCTTTTCTTATTTTGCTGCTAGAATATACATATTTGTTTTGTTCTCCTTTTTCCTTTTGATGGCAAAGGACATCAATGTTTTGTTAATAAACCGCCATTAGGATAAGTGTTAAAGATTATGTTCTTTTTGGGCAAAATTGCCAATGTCTTAGTAGAAACTGTGTGCATCCTCCTTCATTATGTAAATTTGTTTACAGATGCTCAGGCAAGACCCCTTGGGGTATCAGTAGATCTCTGTAGGGGTCAGCGCAAGTTTTTCTGAGGCTGGAATTTCCTTCCGAAGCATCACTGCTTTGTGGGACCGCATGGCGCTCGTCATGGACCCGTGCGTGATCGTGAGTACATGTTGGTTCCTGACTGGAGTTCAGAAGAAAAAAGGCTTGTTTATGGTTTTTGAATCGATGACAGAAAGCATATTTCAGTCACTTTTGGGGTGTTGGCTTTCTTATATTTTCTGCATGGGTATATTTTTTCTATATTTAACTATATAAATGAGGGATGATGATACCTGAAATCTAGAAATTCATCATGAATAAGGTGATTATAAATTAAGAAAGTGTCTGAAGCTCAGATGTATTTGGATGCCATCACTCAAATACACAGTGTATGTAATTTACATATTGCCATGCTGCACGCTGCAGTTAAGTAGGAGCTGGTTATTGCTTTGTTCATGAACTTAACTTATCCTTGATTATACACGGAAAAATCCCAGTGTTTCAAGTCCAAACCAGTGACAAGACACCAACCAAATTTTGCAGCTTCTATCATTAGCTCTTTCTCCGTTAAATTCAAACCTCCTGATGAAAAATCATTTATCTCCAAAGCTCTTTGAAACAGTGTAAAACAACTCCCACGCATTAGGGTGCATTTGCTTAGCCAAAGATAGCTGCTCTGGAAACGAGATTCATTGTAGAGATAGAGACATTAATTGGTATGTTGATGTTTAAAAATCGTTCCCAAAATTTATTTGAAAGGTTATATATGTAGAGGGTAAAAATGAAATATTCTTAAAGGCTGTAGAGTAAGCAAGTAATTCTTCCTCCCAGGAAGTTACCAATATATCAGTTTCTTTTTATTCTTCCAAATATAGTCTTTTATCTGATGTCATTTTCGGTCAATGTATTTAAACTAAGATCCTTTTAAATCTCAGAAGCAATCTTAATCACTCTGCCTCAGTGTAAGAAGGTCCAAGAGATGGGGCAAGGTTGCTCAGCTGACCCCTCAGGTATCAACATTAAAACCCAGAAGTCATCAAACCTGGCTACAAAATTTGTGGGGCCCAGTACAAAGTGAAAATACAAGGCCTATATGTTAAGCAGAGCCTTACACCAGGTAGGGGGCCCTTCTAAGCCCTGTGCAGATAGATGCACAGTTTGCATGCTTTGGAAGCCAGCCTGCCAACCCTGCTCTCAGCTTACCCTGGAAGGACTGAATCCAAAGATAATATAAAATCTGTGAAGGGCTGTCTGAGTGGCTCATTTGGTTAAGAGCTTGCTCAAAAGTCCAAGCTCTGACCAACAGGGTTGCTGGTTCGATTCCCGGCCCGAGCTTAGCTGCCGCTGAGCTGCCAACAGGTGGCAGGATAGCTCAGCTTAAAAAAATAAAATAAAATCTGTGGCCACCTGCCATCTGTGACTTATATTTGTTGTCTGGGGCCCATCTCTTTCTGGAAGGAATAGTGGGTTGAATGGAAAGTTTGAAACAGTGGTTAACCCCAAAACTCAGAACTGTCTGGTTTACAGATAATTGGCTTTTTTCCTGGTGGAGCATTTGGTAGGGTAAGGGAGAGTGAGACCGGTACAACTATGGGTGGTTTAATGTAGGGGTGTAAATTGATGATTTGGTTAAACAGGGAAAGGGCTTGGTGAAAGAATTGCAGTAAATAGTCAGTGGGCATTTGGGTCTATACCAGAGATCTTAGGATATATCATCAAAGGAGAAGAGAAGAAAGGTATGGTGACCTGAGCCCCTGGCTTGGCATCATGGGAATTTTACCCAGAAGGTTTGGTGTTAGTGTTTCCAGCCTTGGGGCAGGTGGGAACAAATAGCTTAACACAGCGTGCCCTGTTGTAAGTTATTTATGTACATTTAATCTTCACTACAATCCTAAGAGATAGGCAATATCATTAACCCCATTTAACATGTAGAAACAGGCATAAGAAGGTTAAGTCATTGGCTCCCCCAAGGTCACAAGTGAGTAGGTTGCAGAGCTGGGGATCCAACCTCATTGGCGCATTACCCTAGAGATACCTGTTCCCGGAGTTTTGAAAAGTACTGCACTGTTATTGTGATGATTTTTTTTCTTTCCAGTTTGTGGAACACATAATTGATAATCTCAGTTGTCATTTGGGCATTCTCTGGTGCCCAGTATTGGCCAGACACAGTGCGAGGTACCTCCCCACATACCGTCTCTAGTGCTTGTAAGCTAAATAGCATTTTATAGATGAGAAGCTGAGCCCCAGAGATTTGGCCTGCCCCAGCCCCCACCAGTAAGGACCAGATGGGATTCTGTCCCCAGGTGATAGGCTGCTCCACCTCCTTTCTCGCATCACCAGACTGCCTTTGGGTTCACATACCTTGACTATTTACTGGTTCAGAGTGTTTTCAATTTTGTCCTGATGTTTTTGGGTGCTTACACTGATTCTGTTCTTTCTCATAGTGCATCTAAAACAAATGAAGAACTTCTTCATCTGTGTCCCAGCCGCTGACTTCCCCTTTCATGCTGTTTGTTGTTTATTTTGGGGACTAACAAACATATTAACCTCAGTGCCTGCTGAATGGAAATTTCTCAGGGCCTATCCCTGCCCTCCAGCAATTTCCTACTGTCCTGTTGAATAGGAAAGAACTCAACGACTAAAATACAGGGTGTGATTAACCCTGACATTTCTACCTGGACCTTCAAGGTTTGGGAGGTGGAACATTGCAGTGAACAGCTTGAGTAGAGTGCCGAACAGCTCAGAAAGCAAAAGACAAGGCCTTGGCAGGGGCTCAGGATGCTGTCCTAATGGGTGAGATGATTTTAATGCCTCACTTTTCAGCCCCTTCCCTGTACTGTCCACATTTTCTTAAAAGACTCAGATGCTTTGTTTACTGATTTTCTTGGCAATCTGTGTTGTCACGACAACAAGATTTGTTTGCCTAGAATAGGTTTTTCTGATGTCCTTGGGGGAGAAACCTCAAAAAGCAAAGCCAATTCTTATTTTCATATTGCTAAGAAGAAACTGGTTTCCTTGAGAGGGATGATTCGTATCACCAAGAGGTGCAGAATACCAATGAAAGGCAATTGTGATGTTCTCTGCTTTGTTCTAATTCACTTTACTAAGAAAGGCACACCGTTGGTGGGGTTTTTAGCTCTGTGCTGAGTATATTAATAGTACCTCTGATACTATGATAATAGTACCTCTGTGCCAGGCACTGAGCTATTATCTTGACACATACAGGATTGTATGTAAACCTCAAGCGGAGCCTGTGAGCTGGGTTTAGTATCCCCAGCTGACAGCTGATGAAACCAAAATCACTGTCCAAGGCCACAGAGCTGGTAACTAGCGAAGCTGAGATTTGAACTAGATCTGTCTGACTCCACAGCCACTGCTTTCACACACACTGTGGAAGGTAAACAAATGCTTCAGACGTGGTACCTATCTCTACTCCAGGAATGTATAGCTCTGCGGGCACGTCAGAATGCATGAGTGAAAAGTCAAGAATAAAGAAGTCACAGTGGCCGAGCAGCAAATAAATGGTACGGTCCTTGCTACAGGAGATGAGAAAGGACAAGGAGAGCTTAAGCACAGGATTTCAGGGAAAACTTTCCGAAGTTGATCCTTGGCCAAGACTTGGAATTGAAGGGGTAATTTCTTTACCTTTCTCACTTAACTGGCTTCTAACTTGACACAGCTGTACATATACCTAAGCTCCTGCCTGTTAGCTAGTGTTCTAATAAAACACAGGCAATTTAGTAACATGATATAAACATATGAGTCATATTTAAACAAGTCACAGGAAAACGCATCAACCAATATCTGTTTGGTTTCTTTAGTAAAGCATGGGTTGTCAAACTATTATTCATGGGCCAAATCTGGCACGCCACTTGTTTTTATATGGCCTTTAAGAATGGTTTATACATTTTAAATGGTTGAAGAAAAATGAAAACAGTGTTTTGGTATATGTGAAAATTATATGAAATTCAACTTTCAGTGTTGTAAATAAAGTTTTATTGGAACACAGCCATGCCCATTCATCTCCTTTTGTCTGTGGCTATTAGAATGGCAGAGAGGAGTAGCTGCAACAGACACCGTATGGCCTGCAAAGCCTAAAATATTTACTATCTAGCCATTTACAGAAGTTTGCTGATCCCTGTCATAGGGTCAGAAATGTTCAAAATACCCCCGTCAGTCCCAATACATATTTTGGGCGGGGTGGGGGGGAATAAAAAAAAATATCGAACTAAGCATCCATCATTCAGAATTGACTGTTAACATTTTGCCATTTGCATCTAATCCATTTGTAAACAAAAGGCATAAAACTTTACAACATTCATCCAATGACTATAACGCATTTTATTTATCCATTCCCCTGATGATCATTTAGGACGGTTCCCAGGTTTTCACTAAACCCAACAAATGCTTGCATGTTGAATAACATCAGGAGGGGAGGTCATCCTAATTGGAACTCTCTGGATTGTTTGTGGGCGCCCCTGCAGCCTGGAAATACCTAAAGAGCACAACAGAAAGGCACTGAAAATCCACCCAGTTGACAGGAGGGCTTTGAACCTTTAATCTGGCCCTTGACTTCTCAAGTCTTGATTCCCTTTTGGCTGCTTGGCAGGGTCAGTGAGACAGCTCCCTGGGTAACTCTTGGTTCAAGACTGGGTTTCCCAACCACCCAAGGCCGGCAGGTCAGGCAGCCCCTGAGGTCTTCTCTCCCCCACTTCCGCCGCAGCGCTGATACCCGGCTGGGAGACTAGCAACGCACTTAAGGCTCGAGCAAAGTAGGGCATCAAGAAGGGTAGAATGTTCACACAAAGCATCTAAGCAGTCTTTGGGAAAAGCCTGACTTGGATTTCGCGCCGTTTGGTACAACCTGGTGGATTGGGGATGGGGAAGATACACGGTCCCCCAGCATTTAGGGCGGGCCCAAAGCAGTGGTCAGAGGTTAGGGGTCGGTGCGGGTGCGGAAGGGGGTTCCCCCGAATGGGTGTGCCGTAGCCTTGGGGAACTTTCTGCGACTCAGCCGCCGCCCTGCAGTCCCGGCGTTTGGCTAAACAAAGCTAAACCAACCGAGGATGTCCCGGCCGCCGCGGGGGG